TCAGTTTTCCTCATCTGTGAAGTGGGACTTCTAGAACCCCTGCCCTTGCCTACCTTGCAGGATTTAAGTGCTGCGCACGTGTGATTTGTGTCTTTGAAATAGTGGCCCACGTGTTTCCTGTGCCATTCCTAGACATTAGAACACATTTCTTGGCTTTTTGGTACTTTGGTCCCTCAGAGGGATTAGGGTCGTATCTGCCACCTCAAGAAGCTGGAGTAAATACTGCATCTCTCAGACGGACACCCCCCCTGTTCAGCCGCTCTTCCTCTCAGAGAGCCTCTGCGGTCTGCTGAGCAGGGTTGTGTGTAGCAGAACAATTGCGGATGAAGAGTGTGAAAAGAAGGTGTGAGTGCTAACTGTCGCATTTCCTCTTGGTTCTTATTTCTTTGGTAAAGAATACTACCCTCTCATGAGGATTGATGGACATGTTTTCTTAGGAACAAATTCAGACAGTCACAAACGCAAGCAGTCTCTGTACCCTGAGAAGTCTCTGTCCTGAGCGTTTGGTTGTCTTCGAAGTTAGGAGACAGAAGGGTGAAGGAAGGCGGCATGTTGTTCTTCCGAACATGCCCTTCCCCGAGCCCGAGAGTCTCCTCTTGTGCGTCAGGAGCCTGGGGGGCAAGGATGGCAAAATAGCCCCCGCTGCCACACCAGAAAAAGCCTTCCACGCACCTTTGATTCTTGCATACGCCAGTGGTGGCTTTTCACATCGTGGCCCTCGTTCCCCTGCCAGTCTGTGAACTGTACCCCGTCTCCAACCAGATAGGCACCGAAAGTGAGAGAAAGCGTTTAGAAGCTTGTATGGCAACTTGACCTTGCTGTGGCAGCTTTCTGATGTCTCGTAAAAGTGCCGGTCAGTAAGGGTGGCGGGGCAGCCTTGGGAGGCTGCCACTCCCCAAGAGTTTGAGAAGCACCATATAGACAGCAGTTGGGGGCGGGGGGCCGCAGGTGTCCTGTGAGCCTGAGTCACTTGTAAATGAACAGTCACCATGGGCAAAGGGTGGAATTCTAAAGTGTGACTTGTAATTGAAAGTCTGCTAAGAGGCACTCTACCAATATATTGCTTTCTATTGGAGGAAACCTTAGTTCTGTACATGGCCTTCATGTCTTGTTGAGTAAATTGAACAATTTTTACCATTCGTGTTGAGAAGAATACCGGTTTCTTTCTCTATAAATTATTCCCCCTAGGGAGTCCAGGCTGGTATTTCACAGAAACTGTGAACTGATGATGTTAACGTTTGTTTGGGGCTAACTTCTCAGCAGTGTTGTCTCTAGAACAGCGGGAAAGACTGTTCTGCCCCCTCGGGGCCTGGTGAGCCTGCGGGTGCAATGCCCCCTCCCCTTCCTTTCTCCAGACTTGACTTGGCCTGAGTCCGCCCTCCGCTTTTCCTCCGCGCGCCCTGACCTTGAGCAGCTGTCCCACGGCCGCCCCGGGCCTTCTCTGCAGGGCCTGTCCACTCACCAGGGAGGACTTGGCAATTTCGGGGCTCGAGGGTAGAGTAGACGTTCTTACAGGCCCAGCTCTGGAATCTAGGAGGGCAGGCAGGGGTGTGTCGGTAGCCCTCTGGGATTTGGATATCGTTCACACACAAATGGCGTGTCCCCTCCCTCTTCTAGGTGCCATGCTCTCATTTTCCCAAGAGTTAGGCTCTAGCGGTTAGGTCGCAGTTGTGCGGACGGCTCCCCGACGTGGTTGGTTGTCCCGCGCGGGTCCCACGGTTGTCGGCTGTCAGGTGTGGTCTCACGACGCCCGAGCCCTGTGACTGACACGGCCTTTTCTTGCAGACACGAGTTGGCGCTCCGAGGCAACCTTTCAGTTCACTGTCGAGCGCTTCAGCAGACTGAGTGAGTCGGTCCTTAGCCCTCCGTGTTTTGTGCGAAATCTGCCGTGGAAGATTATGGTGATGCCACGCTTTTATCCAGACAGACCACACCAAAAAAGCGTAGGATTCTTTCTCCAGTGCAATGCTGAATCTGATTCCACGTAAGACAGTTTAAATGATGCCATTACGAACCCACAAATAGTTATGCTCCGTGATTGGAGGCTCAGTCTGATCGGCCTCTTTGAGTTTAAAACTTTTGCCTTTCCTTGCTGCCTCTACATAGCCCTCTGATTTTACATTAGATGAACTACATTTCTCTCTTTAAAACTCAATGGTAGGTATTCTCTCCAAGCTAGAAAAGGTGTATGTTTTTCTTGCAAACAAGACACTGAGGTTCAGGTATTAGAATCTGCCCGCCCAGGGAACACGGAATCAGGGTCCATCTGGACTAGCTGACTACTGGATTACCAGGTTTAATTATTCTACCAGTAAGTGCCTGAGGGGAAAACTGTAGCTAAGGAACATTCCTCAGGTCTGGAGGCCTCTCGGCATTGTTGTGTTAACCAGCTCCTGTGTGTTATTCAGAGAGTTTGGATTAAAACATCCTTTGAGGGTTTTACCACGTGGGCCTCCCCAGCTTATTTTAGAGAAACTGTTTTGTTCTTACAATTCTTAAAAAGGACTATGTAGTAAAATGTCTTCAGATTAGGAAAAGTGTTTATGGTCCCTTTATTCAGATGAAAACAAAGATCAGAGGCTTCACGTTTTCTACCTATTGATAGATCCTCAATACCTTGATTCTTCCCTTAATTAAAAACTGTCACCGGTCAGCGTATATCAGAAGCTTAGTTGACATTGTTTGAAAGGGTCCCAGATCACTTTGTTACTGTGTCCTTCTCCTCCCATATCGAGGAATCTGTGAGAAGGCTGCTTCCTTGGCCCACGTCTGTCCAGGCTCCCTGCCACCCCCAGATTGTGGCCCTTTAGACCTCTCAGTGAAGGCTGGTCCCCAGAGGGCCACAGGGGCACTGGCCTTGGCTGCTCTGTCCAAGCTCCAGGGAACACAGTCCGTTACATTTTTCTTTTTTACGTGGATGTTTAAGTAAACTGCCAGGCCAATTCTGTGCTGCAGCCAGGGCCTGTATATAGGTTAAAATTTTCCTTCCTGTGTTCACATTCTGATCTGATTTCCGGTGAGTATTGAGGCTACATTTTAGCCTAACAGACAATTTGGGCCTGACAGTAGTTTGGGAACGCGGTGAGCCGTCCGTCCCTGGAGCAGGCAGCCTGGGCAGACAGGAGTGCCCATACTGGGCCTGCACTGCTGTCACTTCAGAGCTCTCTGGAAACTCTGCTGTGTGTGGCTCTGCTGTGGCTCCGAGCCCCCAGTGGCCCTTTAAAGGGCTGCGTCCGTTCGGTTTTTGTGCACAGATCCAGAGGCTCTGTTGTGACCCGCCCCCAGCCTGACTGCAGCCCGGGCTGTGGCTGTGACTAGGCGCCCCTGCTCAGAGCTCCCGGGGGCTCCTGGAGGGGAGCTCTTGTGTTTTCACCCAACACCCAACCCAGATACCAGAACCACTGTCTGACCAGAAGCTAGTCTCTTACAGACTCTAAAGGCCAGTATCTAAAGTTCAGAAACTGTATTTTATTGATACCAATAAAAAAAAAACTGACCTAAAAAAAAACTTGTAAAAATTAAAGTAAGACCATGGCTCGGGGCACCTGGGTGGCTCAGTCAGTAAACGTCTGACTCTTGATCTCAGCTCAGGTCTTGATCTCAGGGTCATGAGTTCAAGCCCTGCGTTGGGCTCTGTATTGAGCTCTGCGTTGAGCTCAATGCCTACTTAAAAAAACAGAACAAAACAAAAACAACCCATGGGTCAAATCAGTACAGTCCACACTGTGGGGGGGGGGGGTTCCTCGACCCCTTTTAGCTTCTTTCTTCATTAAAGGTAAATGTGTCCCCCCACTCCACCTTCCCAAATAGAAGGACGGGAAAAAATGTGGGAATTTTCACATGCTCTGTTTTGAAACAATGTGTAAACGTCAGTTAAGTGGGTCACCTGAGGCTTAGGTTCTCTTTGACCAGGTCGTGGTCTTGCCATGCACAAGCTGTGCTGAAGATAATAAATTACAGAGACGACGAGAAGTCCTTCAGTCGACGCATCAGCCACTTGTTCTTCCACAAAGAGAATGACTGGGGCTTCTCCAATTTCATGGCCTGGAGCGTAAGTAACCGTGCCATTACACTGACTGACCTGAGCAGCGTTCCTTCTTCATTCTGCAGATCCTTCTGTTCGCAGTGAGAATGTTTGCTCTATCAGGTGAACAGGTGTCTGTGAAAATGTGATCTCTCCAGTTTGCAAGCTGAGGTTTTGAAGCAGCCAGCAGACAGGGCTTGAGTCTCAGCTCTTTGTCGGACGTCCGTAAGGTAGTTCCTAGCTTTCCCAACAGGCCGAATCTCCTTTAAAAGGGGGCGCTTCCCTGAGCTAGGCCTGGTTTCATGTACCCTCATCAGTTCCCCACTAAGTTTGAGAGAGAGAAAGAGTGCGCGAGTGCGCGAGCAAGGGACGGGGAGAAAGAGCGAAGGAGACGCAAAATCCGAAGCAGGCTCCGAGCTCCAAACTGTCAGCACAGAGCCCTCTGTGGGGCTCGAACTCACAAACCTTGAGATCGTGACCTGAGCTGAAGTCGGACGCTTAACCGACTGAGTCAGCCAGGTGTCCCTTGGCTGCTTTCTGCAGAAGTGGAAACCAGGGCAGGTTTTTTAAGGGGGCATCCTGCTGGGCTCTCCAGGCCCTGCTCCTGTGAGCAGGTGCGCGTTCCTTCCAGCCTGTGCCCTGGCGAGGGGCTCCCCGGGACTTCCCAGATGCCTCCAAGAGGAACCATGCTTTTGCTGGTTTTGTTCAGAGGACACTATTTAAAACCAGTCAAAACACTGCAAAACCAGAAGCCCGATTTGGGTGTTTGAAAAAGCAGTCTTTTCCTCTAACATGCAGAGGGTGTGAGGGTAATTGTCTCTTTGGAATGTAGCACGCGTCCCTGTGTTCTTATGCAAGTTGGATATTTTTATTTTTTATAGGAAGTGACTGATCCTGAGAAAGGATTTATAGATGATGACAAAGTTACTTTTGAAGTCTTTGTACAGGCGGATGCTCCCCATGGAGTTGCGTAAGTTTTTCTTTAATTGGGCGCTCTTAAGAAATGCCTTTTGTGCTGTAGGGAAAGAAACATTAGCATATTAACAGTGCATATATTTAACCGTTAAGCACCCTCCCTGTGCTTGCCCCTAGGCGCACACACCTTACCCAGCTTCACATTGACCCCTTCACTTGACACATGTATTGAGCATTTTCTGTATGCCAGACACTGCTGGGCACTAGGAGTGTAATTCTGGTCGGCCAGTTAGCCATGGGTTTCTGTCCCCAAGGAATACACAGACTGGTGGGGCCGTTGTGGCGGGGAGGGGGCAGTTCCTACCAGTTCTGGAAGTGGCAGGTATGATGGTAGAGGGGTGGCGGGCGGGAGGGTGAGGGAGGTGTAGCCGAGCTCGGAGGAGGAGATGAGATCGAACCCCAGGGGTGGGAGGTCTGTGTGCACAAAGCCGTGCTTGGCCTTGCAGAAAGCATGGGGTTGGGCTACATGTTAAGGAGGTTAAGGGGTTGGGGCAGGGAGAACATCAGGAGTGAAGGCACCGGCAGCGAAGTGTGGGGTTGGGTGGCGCATCTGGAAGGGGTGGGAGTTGAGGTGGGTACGCTGGGCCATGGGGACCTGCTGACTTTTCAGGGCTGGGGACGGGGTAGGCTGGAAAGCACAGTCTGGGAAGAAGTGGAGTGGCGGGCACCTGTCTCTCCCCGCTACCTGTGTGTCTTCATGGGGCCCTGCTCTGGCAGGAGGGTGTGGTTGGCCTGGGTGGAATCCCGCAGGGACTGTGGGGCAGCCAGGGAGGAGCTGTTACTTAGCCCAGGTCCTGGCTGACGTGGCCAGGGCAAGTACAGGAGGGATCCACCTTTTCTTGAGCAGCCTTTTCAGGGCTTGAGTTGTAGCAGGGGTGGAGGCAAAAAACAAAAAACCTCAGTTTTTTGCTTTGGTTCCCCCCCCCCCCCCCCCGCCATTTTAAAAACCTTTTCCCTATGTTTGTGATCTACTTTTCTTGACTAAAAAAGTGGACTGGGTTTTTCACCCTTACCAATCAAAACTGATTTCTTGCCTTAGTGTTACTTACCACAACCTATTCAGGCATTATCACCTAAATCTTTGTGATTATAGATTTTAAAATAACCATTTATAATTTAGGATTCTTGCATTTTCTTGCCAATTTTTAAAATGATCCACAGATACGCACATACTGTAACCAGGGCCGTGTGGTATACCCAAGTGTGTCAGAAAGGTCACGGACTAAGCCCTGGAATCAGCACTTACTGTTGACCCTGACACCTGGTCTAGTGTTGGCCACAGCTCAGTGGCAAAAGTGTTCGTTCTTGTCTTCACGTTATATGCAGATGGGGATGGGCCCGGGGGTGGTTTGACTGGTATTCCCTCGAGCTTCCTGTCACTATGGGCTGGGGGAGGGGCGTGCAGTGGGGACCGCCAGCTCTGAGAAGACCTACCCATTCTGCTCAGAGAAGACCACCAGCCTAGCAGGTTAAAGAGAGAGAGCTAGTTCAGAAGTCTGAGCTCAGCTTGCCCTGGTACACATGCCTGGCTTCGCTCGTGTGTATGAGTCTGCAGAAAAGAGGGGTTTCAGCCGTTGGCATTTCTTGCTGACTCCACACGTGACTTAATACGAACGCAGGAGAGCCACACTGGGAGCCAGTCGGATAGAATCCAGCCAGTACGTGCGAGCGGCGATCTCGGTGGATGAGGACAGCGTTGCTGTCGGCGGCATTAAGCTGCTTCTCCAGCGCCCGGTTTGTGCACCTGGGTGAACTGAGCCCGTGATTGTGCCCAGCACTCTGGGCCCTGGTGCCCAGGCAGGGGCCTGGCGGTGAGGAGTGCGTGGCAGTCGCTCCCACGTCAGGATGGCGGGAGACAGGCGGTGGTGCACAGCAGTGTGGCGGCCACACGCTCCACACGCACTTGCGGAAGCGAGGCGGTGTCCTGTGCGGTTTTCCCTCAACCTCGAACTGGTCTTGTAGGTGGGATTCAAAGAAGCACACGGGCTATGTCGGTTTAAAGAATCAGGGAGCGACTTGTTACATGAACAGCCTGCTGCAGACTTTATTTTTCACAAATCAACTACGAAAGGTAAATGGATGGTATTTCTCTCCCTCAACCTCCCGCCCACCCTCTTCTCAAGTTTTAAGGGACAAGCAGAGTCCTGTTGGCGGACTTTGCCGTGTCTCTCCCGGTACCACCACAGTGCTGTCTCTGGACGGGGGCCCCTCTGGGATGCTTGTGCCTATCTTTATTCCTCCGTGTTTGGACACTCGTGAAACTAACTTGGATGATCAAAAGTTTGCTGGCTAACCTAATTTTGTTGGGCTAGAGATACTAAAAAAAAAAAAAATTTTTTTTTTAAATATGAAAGGCATTAGCAGCAATATCTGAAAAGTTTTTTATGTTAAAATTGAATTGCAAAGCCACCGGCTGTGAAGTCTAATTTCACATACAGGTAAAGGTCATTTTCCTGAGAGCGCTAATAGTAAAGACCGCAGACACCCCCTGAGTCTGGTACAGGCTAGCTGGTCGTCAGTCCTTTCGGAAGGCCGTGCGAGGGTGCAGGCCACACGGACTCCGGGTTGGGGGCGGGGGCAGGCACTGGCTGGTCTGCTCTGCTGGCTTTTCCGGTTACGTTGGCACTGTAGTGACCACGACAGAATGGTATAGTCGGGACCGGGGGTGGGGGTGGGGGTGTGGATCATCCCAGTGGCACTTAGGTTTCGTGACACCTTTTGTTCACAAGCGATGTGAAGCTAAAAAGTGTTCCAAGAGGTATGAAATACAAGTGGTTCTCTTTGGATGGCGAGTTGTAGGTAAATTTTTTAAATTCTTTTTTGCTTTCTCATGGTTTTTATGTTGCCTCTACAGACTTTGAGGATCTTTTAAAAAAGTTTCCTGAGCTATTTTGGAGGGATAGTTAGAAGCCCTACCACCTACCTTAGCTGTTGTGATATTGGAAATGATACTTTCACATAAAATTCCATTTTTATTTCTTAATCAATTATTTTAGGCTGTGTACATGATGCCAACAGAGGGTGATGATTCATCCAAAAGCGTCCCCTTAGCATTACAAAGAGTGTTCTACGAATTACAGCACAGCGATAAGCCTGTAGGAACAAAAAAGCTAACGAAGTCCTTCGGGTATGTATTGTATCGCCTTCTTCGCCTTCTCCTTCCTTCTGCAAGGATGGGTGAGCGCGTAGTAGGAGAATCCAGAGCGCAGTGTAGGCATTTCAGTGCGCCTGGGTGTTTCGATCACTGGATTTGGTTTGTCCTTTCCGTAATAAAAGGCTGTGGTTTGGAATTTGGCCTGAGAAATAATTCACCACTTAACGACGTCCTCTTATGCACCGCAGGACGTTCAGAACAGGACAGAGCTGTGAAGATGTTGGTGCCCTGATAGAATTCAGTGGTCTTTAAATTGGGGACCCCTAAAGATAATTCCCTCAGAAGATGGATTGACGAATAGTGGCCTGTCCTACAGCTCGCTTTTCAAGTCTGAGTTGCTTAGTTTACTCTTACTTGAAGTCTGGAACTGTAAATAAATACAAACATTCCTTTTCTCTTTCCAAGGTGGGAAACTTTAGATAGCTTCATGCAGCACGACGTTCAGGAGCTGTGTCGAGTGGTAAGTTCTCCGCCATAACCGCACACTACTTAACATTGGCTGCTGTAAAGCACTGTCGGACGTGGTAGCAAGTAAAACCTCAGACCTGCCTCGCGCCCGTGCAACTCAGGTGCGCCCATCTCTGTTCAGGACAGAGCCAGGCCAGGAAGGAAAGGCAGCGTCTGTCTAGTTTACGAGCCAGAGAGAATGAGAACAAAATTGTTCTTGGAGAGGGCAGCGTGAGGGGAAACTTGAATTTCGGTAGCGGTAGGTAGTGTGGTTTAAATCTGCCGTTGGTACATCTGCCCCAGTTACCAGTCAGAGAAACCACAGATTGGCTGACGTAGCTGTCCTGGCCGCCCTGTTTCACCGTAGACTAGGGACTTCTGTTACTCCGTAGCGCCCAGACTCGTCTTTTGCACAGAAGTTCTAACAGAGGCAGCTCTCTGTGCGGGTGATTCTCCCCCAAACCATCTTTAGTCACTAGCAAATTCCCGTCCTTCCAGTCGTGACCAAAGACGCACAGACACACACAAAGTCACACACATACACAACATGAAACGGCTATTCAAGGTGATTGGCTGGGCAAGGTGTGTTTTCTGTTTTGCAGCACTAGCTGGATTGAATCCAGTTCATTAAATATCCATGGACAAACCAGTCAATCCTGTTGACAGGCTCAACCTCATTTATCTCTTGGTGTGGACCAATACGAGTTAAGTTTAGTGCTCAATTTACATGCTTTTCCACAGAGGTAAAATGAATATAAAAAATGCTTCTAAAGGCACTACAGATTACTAATTCATTCCAAAGGCTGTATAGAGGTTAATCTCAACTGTTGCATGTAGATATTTTTGTAAATACCCAACCGAGGACGAAGATTTTGTATGTTTTCATAATTGCATGCTGGAGGTCATAATATTCATAGTCTAGAACTTCTTTGACCATTGAAATTTCCTAGTCAAGTTTCGAATTACTGTCTGTTAATGAAGCATCACATTTTCTTAAAGCCCAAACTTTCTCTTCCAGCTGCTTGATAATGTGGAAAACAAGATGAAGGGCACGTGTGTGGAAGGCACCATACCTAAATTGTTCAGAGGCAAAATGGTGGTATGTGGCTACCAGCTTTAGAGAATGATTTTAAGATGATTTAAGAACGCTACGATAGCGACAATTAACACTTAAGCCCTCTTATTTTCCTTATTTGTAGTCCTATATCCAGTGTAAAGAAGTAGACTATCGATCCGATAGGAGAGAAGATTATTATGATATCCAGCTAAGTATAAAAGGAAAGAAAAACAGTAAGTTCCGTGTACATAACCTTGGCCTCCCGCTCATTTCTGTTTTGGTTTCATGCTTCATTGACCCCGGTGATTTTCATTGAAATCTGGTGCAGACAGAGACCCCCGCCCAAGTGATGAGCGAACAGCTTCCCAAGTGAACGCAGGCTCGCGGCCCCACACGGGTCACACATCACGACGCCTGCCGCCTACACGTTGGTTTTAAGTATTTATAGAGATGGGATCATACAGGCTACACAGCCCTGCTTCTCTCCTTTTGCCCAGCGCCACATCTGTGCATCGTGCATATCGCTAGGAGCGGTGGTAACTTGATGGTTTTCATTGCTTTACGCTACTCCATGTGAGGAGGATGCCGCAGGTTTTTGGGAACCACTCTTTCCTTGGTAGATGTTTGCGTTTTCAGTGTGTGGTGCTCGGACATAAGGTTCCTTTCCCGTTGCTGTGCCCGTCTCCGGCACGCATCCTTCTGCGTTCACGGTGAGCGGAATTGTAGGCTCCAAGGGTACGCATATACATTCGGTGGGTGAGGCCAGCGAGGCTCCCAGAGCAGTCTGTTGATCTCTGTTCCCCAGCCATGTGTGACAGTGGCCATCGCTCCGCATCCACAGCAGGACCACCGGTCAGCAGTCTGGACATTTTGGTGAGTGTGTGGCACTCTCGCTGTCTGTATGCATTTCCCCAAAGGTCAGCGAGATGGTCACCTTTCCGGCTGCTTACTGGCAATTTGGATGTCTTCTTGAACATCTGGGATGGAGTTAATAATAGTTGATGTCCTTGATTGCCAGTTTCGTCACCTGTGATTTCTGGGTTGGTTTCTGTTGATTCACTTTGCTCTTCATCAGGGGCTGTTTTCCAGCTTCCTTGCATGTCTGGTCCTCTTAGTGGATGCCTGCCGTTGTGATTTTTACCTTGTTCGGGTATGGATGTTCTTCACCTTTGTTCTGGGACCTGTTGGAGTTGCTTGGACACCATGTGATTCTTTGGAGGCTTGTTTTTACGCCCTGTCCGGTGGGAGCACAGCAGTTTGTGGTTAGCGCTACATGGGCCCCCACCTGAGGCCGTGCCCAGAGCTCCGTGTACAAGGAGGCTTTTCACCGTGGCTGGAGGGAGCACAGACTGTTCCCAGGCTCGCGTGTCCTCTGGGGGCTGTACCCCCGGCCTCTGGGTGGTTCTTTCCCTGCCCCCAGATAAGTCTTCACCCTGCTTGCTGGTCAGCCCTCCCTGGGGGCTCTGGGAGAGCTGCCGCTTTCTTCTTGGGCACTCTGCGCTGCAGATGGCAGCTGCTGTGGGCCCTGTTTGGGTTTCTCTCCCACGCGGTGAGCTGGGACAGTTGAACTGCTCTTACCCATCATGGTCCCGTACCGCCTGTTTTCCCGGGCCTGAAACCTCTTTTGGATGGACAGTCCCGGGGTCCTTGTCCAGTGCAGGAGAGTGTGCCTGGTGCCTCTCCTTCCCGAGGGAGCCGTGACAGGGACAGGGAGCCGGGCAGGAGCCATTCTCGGTGCTCTGGGCACTGGCCCGGCTGTGTTGCTGAGCTGCTCCCTCTGTGGGGCTCACCTATTTTCACTCTTCTAAGTTTGCCACGTGTTTAATGGAATTGCAGAATTTTAGTGAAATTACCGGATTTTTTCTTTGCTTTTTGTGTCCTAAGAACATCTGTCCTGAAGTCATAAGGTCGTCTCTGATCTGTTACTGTTTTATCTTTTCTGTTTGCCTACAATCCCCACACAGTGGTGTTTTGCATGTGGTAGGATGTCAAGACTGACCCTCCCCCTGTGGGTCTCAGGTGATCCCGTCACATTTTCCGCGTTGCTCTGCACCTTTGTTAGCGGCCAGTTGCTCATATTTGTGTGGGTTTGTTTTTAGATTCTTGCTTTTGGTCCACTGGTTCTCCCTGAGCAAATTCTACACCTCCCACCCCCAGCTTTATTTTGGTTAAATTGACCAAATGTTAGGATATTCAAAGTGTACGTTGTGATCGTTGCGGATATACTGTGAAAGGAGTGCTCTGTCCCAGTGACCACCTTGACACGTCCCTTCATCGTGTGCGCACGTGCATGAGAGAATATTTAGGTGCTGCACTTTTGGCAAACTTCAGTTAGACAACAGGATGTTGAGCCCTTGTCACCGTGTTCTGCGTTAGGTCCTTAGTCCTCTGACGGCTGGAAGTTTGCACCCTTTCACCTTGACCCCATGTTCCTGCTCTATCTACACGGTCTTTCTTACAGCTCTATGTGTGGGTTAGGTTTTGTACTTTAATGGTACTTGATTTTGGTAAAGCTATTAAAACACTTGATTCCGTGTTACAGCTTCAAACACCCTCAAGGAACCGTGTCAGTGTTCTCAGGGGTCTGGGTTTTCATGGAGCAGCGGGGGCTTGGTGGCCGTCCGGGGCAGGGGCTGGAGGCCACCACTGGCGTCCTCCCTGGCAAGCTTGAGTGCATGGGGCAGCCGTGCCGTCATGAAGGCCTTTAGTGAGACCATTGGCTGACTCCCTCTCTCTCTCTCTCTCTCTCAAGTATTTGAATCATTTGTGGATTACGTGGCCGTGGAACAACTAGACGGCGACAATAAATACGACGCCGGGGAGCACGGCTTGCAGGTAACGCGGGAACGATGCGCTGCTTCAGTTGTGGACCAAACAGTCACTTGGAGCTTTTCATAAGCTGCTCAGACCCAGAGCTCAAAGGATTTGAATTCTGAGTGCAGCCATTACATCTTGGGAGCTGTGATCACACGGCAGGGGGGGGGGGGTGGGGGGGGGGGGGGCAGCTCGTTTCTCAGGTAGGCCTGTCACCCAGCACACGGCGTTTTCTCACTGTGTCTGTCCCCCCTGCTCCTGGCCTCAGTGCTGCCCATGCAGAGCTTTTCCTCCGCTTCTCCGGCTGCGGTGGACTTTGTCGCTCGGACTCCACTTTGGGGTGCATGTGTGGGGTGCAGTTAGTTTTTGAAAGGGTCGTGACTTAGAGGATAAGGAGTGCGTCTTCTGTCCTGGTTCTGTGAACACAGGCTGTCCCTGCTTATCTTCCACAAGGCCCCGCAGGGACCCGAAGCTTCTGGCAGAGCAGTGAGCCTTGTGGACCGGTGACTGGTCAGGTGGAGAGACACGGCCTGGGGCACGATCGGTGGGGCCAGCAGCGCCCTCGCAGACGCAGCCATCCAGGGTCTGTGTTGCAGACTCCTAACCCGGACACATCGGCTCAGCCAGTTGCCAATTTCTCAGACCGTCCTGCTTGCCAGGCTTGCCGATTTATAATTCGTGGTGCTGATGTGCCCCCTGTTTCAGTGGGCCCCGGATCTGCTCTTCTGCTTGGGTCAGGCCACTCAGGGATGCTGCAGTGTGGATCAGAAAGTCACGTTGCAGACGCGCAGCTAGACGTGCTCAGGGAGCACTGCAGTCAGCTCACGAGAATTGCCTTGTCCACAGTGGGTTTGGGGGTCTGGGTGAGCAGTACATAGTATTTTAGAATCACAGTCACAATGGACCGTGGTGGAGGAACAATTCTTTGATTCTTTCAAGGTGTAGAAAAACCATGCCATTCCTTTGTGTGGCAGGAGGTTCCCAGGTTTTCATTTTTCTTTCCAGAGAAACCTTGCCCTCGTAAGCACACGGATTCAGCATCAGAGAACATTGTGGCTTGTCACAGCCCCTTTCCTCTGGGTGGACATAGCCCAGAAGCAAGGTCTGAATTGAAAGTGGAGCTGTGACAGGACCTCCGGTGGCCTGCTGGTGGCTGAGTTTGCCACAGAGGCTTATTTTAGTGAGCAGACCAGAGTCGGGCCTGCAGGGGGGGGGGGGGAGGGGGGTTGTTCAGGAGCGGGCGAGTCCCGCAGCACAGAGACTGAGTTGCTGGTGCTGAGGACAGTCTTCAGAAGCGGGTTGGACTGAGCACTGAGGGCGCGCTCTGACGCGAAGGTCCCGAAAGTCCAGGGTGAGGGAAGCTGATCTAGTCTAGACCTCCCGGCGCATGATTGTCTGTGCCTCTGCCTGTTCTGTCCAGGTGTCTGTGGACACCTCGAACCTTACAGAATTGTAATCCTAGGCTTCTGCCTCTCCATTTAATGACTTGCTGTGCTTTTCAATGTATTTTCCATCATGTTTAATGAGCGTATAACATGGCAGCATGATTAAGCCCCCATTCACCTGGCTATTGCCTGTGGTTGGGCCTCAGAGAGAACATAACCCAAAATAAACCTCGCACATGAGCTGCTGCTGCATGGTCTCAGTTTTGGTAGCAGACGTGGTGAAGGTCTAAGTAGAACATCTTATTTTATTTAAAAAATTTTTTTAATGTTTATTTATTATTGAGAGACAGAGTATGAGCAGGCGAGGGGCAGAGAGAGGGGGAGACACAGAATCCGAAGCAGGCTCCAGGCTCTGAGCTGTCAGCACAGAACCCAACGCGGGGCTCGAACCCGTGAACCGGGAGATCATGACCTGAGCCAAAGTCGGACACTTAACCGACTGAGCCACCCAGGTGCCCCTTAAATATTTATTTTTGAGAACTCGTGAGTGGGGATGGTGGGGGGGATGGGGCAGAGGCGGAGTGGGGGGGTGGATAGAGGGTCTGAAGTGGGCTCTGTGCTGACATCAGAGGAGATGATGTGGGGCTTGAAGTCATGAACCACAAGATCATGACCTCAGCTATTTTTATTTTTTACTTGAAATGTAGTTGACATGCACTATTTTATTTTAGGTGTGCCATGTAAGTTTTGGTGTTGAGCATTATGAAATGCTCACCACGACAGGCCTAGTGGCTCTCTGTCCCCACATAGTGTTCTCATTGTCACTACGTTGTACCTTGAATCTGTGACCTGTTTATTTTATAACTGGAAGTTAGTGCCTCTTGATCCCCCTCACCTATTTTGTCACATCCTCCAGCCCCTGCCCACCGAAAACCACCCGTTTGTTCTCTGCTTATGGGCCTGAACATTTTCAAAGCACCCCGCCTTGGATCCCGTAAACCACCCCCACCCCCCACCCCCGTCTTGCCAGCCGCCGTTGTTGCCCTTGTTCCAGGGACAAAGTAGGGCCCAACTAAACTTGGTTTCTTTTCCAATGTTCAGGAAGCAGAAAAAGGTGTGAAGTTCCTAACTTTGCCACCAGTGTTACATCTGCAGCTGATGAGATTTATGTATGACCCTCAGACGGACCAAAATATCAAGATCAATGATAGGTAATCTATTGTGGGGTGTTAAAGTTAAGACTGAATCATCACCTGACTTCGGCGGGTCGGTCTCCATGCTTTGTTTGTCTTTTTATAATGTCAGTTCATCTCGGATGTACTTGGGAGTTCCCTTGTGCCTCAGTTTCCCAAGAAGTATAATTTTAAAGGGATAATTTCCTTTAAGAGTTTCAGAGGCTTCTCCTCCCATAACTCCCTCTACCGGAACCCTGCCCCGCTCTGTGCTGTGGCGGATGGACGTCCTGGGGAGGTTGGGGGGGGGGGGGGTGCTTTCTGTTTGACCCGATGTAGCTTAGCTGTTTGCTCAGGAGTGGGATTTGATGTTCCCGTATTATTTTGTACTCTCCGTATCAACTTCTAGAACGTGTTGGAATTTTCAAGAAGAGGATGTAGATGGACTTGTGTGCTTTACTGCCAGTGTTTTCAAAATTCCAGATAAAAAGGAATGATAGTACACACACCCTTACCTGGTTTAGAATACATTATTTTTGTCCTGGTTAGTTTGAGCTCAGGATAGGGTGGTTGGTCAGTCCCCCCATGGAACTGGAGTGAGAGTGGACCCAGTCCGATTATTTGCCACCAGCTGGGTCTTTGCCGGCTCCTCGTTGTCCACGATCGTGGAGTGTGTAGTAAAGAAACCGTCCCCACCAGACCTCACACGTCGGCAGCGCGCAGACTAAGCCCCACCTGCTGGTGGGTGTCGTTGGGTCCTCACCTTGCTTTTGTTTCTGCTTTTGGAATTAGTTGCCAACGTTAAAACAAAACAGATCAAAACCTTGAGATTTCACATAAAAGCCCAGATTTCTGGCATCTTTTAGGAATTCAGAACATGTGGCAGCGCAGCCAGAATTGCTGAGGGCAGCACCCGGGGCGCCGAGCCGGCTGCCCCTGGAGACTCCATGCGCCGCTCTCCTCCGCGTCTTCGCCGAGCTGCCTGCCCTTCTTCCTGTCTCTCAAGGCCCTCCTAGTAATTAATCGTGACCCTGTTATTAAAATGCTTATGGATCCAGTAATTTACAAACAAATCAAGTTCACATGTCTCCCGAAATCCCAGGGTGTACGGGATCCTTTCTCACGTGTGTCCCCTGTCAGATTCGATCCCTCCAGGTTTCTCAAACCTGCAGCGTGTCCTCAGTGGTCTTGGTCCAGGACAGTTGGAATCATTCATTAATACATTTGCAGCCATCCACATCCTAGACAAGTCCTGGTGTGTGTTTGTCCTGAGACTGGCTGTTGTGTGACATCCTCAGCTTAGAAATCTGTTGGGTGTCTCCATGCGTTGTGTGCGTCTTTTCTCATACCTGGCTTCACATTTTGTACTGATGTGTGAATAATTGTCCTAATGAATAGGAGCCGCCACAGAAGTCCTTCGGAGGGCCTCCCGAGTCAGAGTGATACTTCTCTTTCCAAATAAAGACGAGTCAGTAAATTAGAACGTCTAGCAATATAGTCTCCACATGAAATATTTTACATGTCAGTGAAACCTGGATTTCTTTAAAAATGTTTTTTTAATAGGTTTGAATTCCCAGAACAGTTACCACTCGATGAATTTTTGCAAAAAACAGATCCTAAGGACCCTGCAAATTATATTCTTCACGCAGTCCTGGTTCACAGTGGAGATAATCATGGTGGACATTACGTGGTTTATCTAAACCCCAAAGGGGATGGCAAAGTAAGTGCCGGGCAGGGGGCGGAGTCAGATGTCATGGTGTGTGGGGCACTTACCCAGCGCTCAGCTTCGCCTTTTCCTCTCCCAACCCGATGGCCTGAATAGTGCAGGATTCCACCCTGGGCTCTGATTTATCTGTGTTCCCATGCATGAATGGCTGATACCTTAAAGGTGATAGTGAATGAGTGCTTGCACTTGACGTATGCACTGAAGTAGCCTTGAACATTGGACCGTTATCATTGCATACCTAATGGGAGGCACTTGCTCTCCACTTAAATCCTTGGGCAGGTGGGAATGCAAGCTGGTGCAGCCACTCTGGAAAACAGTGCGGAGGTTCCTCAAAAAATTAAAAACAGAACTACCCTACTATCCAGCAATTGCACTACTAGGCATTTATCTAAGGGATACAGGGATGCTGTTTCGAAGGGGCACATGCACCCCAATGTTTATAGCAGCACTTTCAACAATACCCAAAATAGGGGAAGAGCCCAAATGTCCATTGACAGATGAATGGGTGAAGAAGATGTGGTAATATCTATACAATGGAGTATTACTCGGCAATCAAAAAGAATGAATTCTTGCCATTTGCAACTACATGGATGAAACGAGCGTATTTTGCTAAGTGAAATTAGTCCGAGAAAGACCAGTATCATATGACTTCACTCATATGAGGACTTTAAGAGACAAAACAGATGAACATAAGGGAAGGGAAACAAAAATAATACCAAAACAGGGAGGGAGACAAAACAGAAGAGACTCTAAAAAATGGAGAACAAACTAAGGGATACTGGAGGGGTTGTGGGGGGGGGAATGGGCTAAATGGGTAAGGGGCACTCAGGAATCTACTCCTGAAATCATTGTTTCACTCCATGCTGACTAATTTGGATGTAAATTTTAAAAAGACAAAGAAAGAAAGAAAGAGAGAGAGAGAGAGAGAGAAAGAAAAAGAAAGGAAGGAAGGAAAGAAAAGAAAAGAAAAAAGAAAAATCCTTGGGCAGGGGAGGCTGGATGAATCACACGTTCTGCGCGCCTGCTTGTCTGTGCTGCGTGATGCTCCGTCGCGTCTCCTAGTGTTCCCCAGGGGTGAGGGTGTCCTCAGGGTCTGTGTCCAGGATCGTAGCGCCAGTGCAGAACAGAGTGGAGGCCGAGCCCACCTCCCTCATGTGAGGAGACTTGGGCAGGGGGTGCTCACACAGCCCCAGACCACGACGAACCTTTCCCTGCAAGACTTAGTGCCATTTGGAACACCTCGACCCACAATGAAGAGATCAGAAGAGAAGTACTCTGTACAACTCTGCTGACCTTTTCTTGAGCCAGGCCCTCTCTTGCTGCGATAACGTATCC